GGGGGGGCGGATGCTGCAGGGACGGACAGGAGCACCGACCTGCTGCTCTGGGGCGTCATTGAGCTGTATCCGGACCTGCTTCTGGGAAGGAAATGAGTGATGAAGAGGAATGAGGATAGTAGATGGAGGAATGTGGATGTAAAGCAGCAGGGCTACAGTATTTTGCTATCACATGTGCAAAGGTCGAATACAGTTTCTTTCCTTTATGTTTGCTGGACTGTCAAACAAACCTTTGCGTCGTTGTGATTGGTCAGTTGCATTTTCTTTAAAGTTACTCTATAGTCTTGATTGTCTTGAGATATTAAAAGAAATACAATACACTCAACTATATAACTTGTTAAGCCACAGTAAAAGCTGAAAGTGACAGGCAGCAATAACAGGATGCTATTTGTACTGCACAAATGATAAATATGTTACAGAAAAAAATCCTTCTTATCCCCGAAAAAAAAGACTTTTTTTTAAAAATAAATGACTAAATCTCCTTGTTTATAAAGGCAAATTAGCAAAAATTACAAATAAATAAATCTCAAATGACGTAAATTGTTGTGATTGTAACTCCAATTTTAAAAACAACTATTCTATATTCTTATTCTATAAAACATTTAGTTTTGTTTGTAGTGGTCATTGGACAAATCATGTGTCTGCACTTCACTCCAATGAGGTTTCATTGAATCTCTTTATGTGGTTGGATTTAAATCCAATTCTCAGTTGTTTGGGAGGAAATAATAGATGTTAAACCTGCAAATAATCATAATTTTGCATTAAAAACTAATTACATGATCATGAGTAATGAGAAATGTGTACCTTCAAGCGTCACATTTTTGTGATATTTCAGATCATTTTATGACCCAAATGTTTTCTTTCAAGTTCATAACAGGCATCAAACTATAGTATAAGACTTGTCTAGCATCTAACAGCAAAATAAACCAATGTAGCTTTGAACTTTCGCTGAATCAAGTAAATGTAAGAGAGTCTGAAGGGTTGGCTTTCTAACTAGGCTTTTTGTGGCTGTATGGGTTAATCAAGAGATTCCAGGAAGTCCAAGATATAGTGACTAACAGCTAAACTAATCCTCTTAACTCACTTCTAAGCAGAGCTTTAAGTGTTATCCACTATCACTGGATATCTCCATGCACAGATCTAAAAAAAAAATCCACGTTCCATACGGCTATCAGAGAAACAGCAAAAGAGGCTCTGTGTAGTTCAGTTTGGGGGATTAGTTAGTGACTTAAGAGTTTTTATCTCTGTTACCAGTTACAGCTTTGCCTTGAGTGTCTCGTCCACCCACCTTACTCTTCTCCTCCTGCTTGGCTGCTTGTCTGCACGGAGGATGCCAGATAGAAGATCCTGGAGATACAGAGACAAAAGACAGCAGCTCTAACATCTGTTCTTTTGTGTTGTTGAAAGTTACTCAGTCAGTGCAACAACGGTACAGGCTGAAGTCAAGTCATCGTTATCTGTGTAGCACATCTAAAACAAGAGACGTCAACCCACAGTGCTTTCCAACAGAGAACAACTGCAAATTTATCTGACTAATTCGAATATAAAGCTTAAGACCCTACGATAATGCAGGCAGAAACCCAATGAATCAAAAATCCCCCTTGAGCAAACACTTCAATATCTCAGCAAGTATTGGTTGGATTGTCACGAAACTGCTTACAGACATAACAACATTGGTGATGCCCTGCCTTTTCCTTTAGCACCATGAAGGGTTTTTTTTTGTGTGTTTTGAACCTGTAAAGCCAGAGAAGCACTAAAACCAATCAGACAGAACGCTAATATGTATAATACAAATGGAGGCAAACAAGAAAAATGCAAATCAGAACAAAAAATAACAGGCCTTTTCAGGGCAGTCTAACTTTTTGAGCATGCTCCAACTCTAAGAATTTGTAGAACCACTTTCAGGTGTGTAGCTCCCCCGAAGTACCGACTTCACCCTTGAAAACTGATGTGCGGGTCCCAACGCTAATTGGGTAAAAGAAAAATGCTGATTGGGAAAACCCCATGAGAACAACAAACACCATTTGTCTGCTCTTCCGATGTCCTCGTTGAGAAGCACTCCCCTCACAGCAACAGCAGTAAAAGCATTAAAGGAAAGATATTAGGTCTTGTGCTTCCACACTGAAGTGCCACATTCCAAACCATTGATCACAGCATTCTTTGGACACAGTGGCGACCCATGTTAACATCTCAGGCATAGTTCTAAACTAGGTCAAGTCATTTCCAGCAGGAAGAGACAATGTGGTGCGTTTGGGTGAGCTGGTGTTGTCTAAAATTGAGGTCAGCTGTGGTGTCCCTCAGGGGTCCATTCTAGGACCCACATTTTTGAATCTGGACATGCTGCCACTGAAAAAAGCATGGAAATAATTTTCATACAAACTGTCTTGTTGCCTCAATAACATGAATATGTAGATTCTAAAAAAGTTTGTGCGGCTTAACAGGAACAAAACTGAGGTGATCATCATTTGGGCCAATAAAAGGCGGACTCTTCATAGTGCTCCTTTAAAAGCTGGCCTATGAACAAAAAGCACTGGGACAAAAACCTTGGTATCATTTTAACTGTGATCCATCCTTGAAGTCCCAGATGCGAAACATAACACCAAAAGACTTATTCATGCTTTTATTTCTAGCCTTTCTTGATTACTGTCTGGCCTTCCAAACAAATATTCAAACAACCTTCAGACGATCCAAATGGCGTCAGCAAGTTGCACCAAAAACTGAACATGGAAAACATGTCACTCCAGTTTTAAAGGCTCTTCATTGACTCCCTGTTGATTTTAGAATTAATTTAAGGTTTTGCATTTTGTTTTTAAATCTCTTAATGGACCAGCTGCTGATAATTTATTACATTTGTTGGTTAAGTATGCCCATTCTGGACGCCTAAGATCCTCTACTTTGGTCTTTTAAATGTTCCTCAGAGTAGGGAGATGCAGCAATCTATGTCATCTCACTTCTGGAACAGCTGTCTAGAGGAGGAGATAGCTTCAGAAGAAACATTAAAACGTATCCTTTCAGCGTTTATGTACACTTTATGTAGTTTCAATAAAATTTAATTGTATCAGATCCGTTTAATAGTTCTATTATGGACTCTGGTATTTTATTGCCTTATATTTTAACAGTATTATTTCACTATTTTCATTTCATTTTCTTGTGGTTTTTTGATGTAAAGTACTTTGAGTTGCACCTGCTGTATGAATGGTGCTGTGCAAACAATAACATTATTGTTATTCTGTGAAAAAACAATAAAAATCTTGCATCATTTTCCTCCTTTCTTCAAAATAAGACAATCAGAACCATAAAAGACAACTTTCCCCATCTGTTGCAGTGAAATTTATTTGTGGTTATGGTGTCAGGAAGCTATTTTTGCTCCTAAATCAATTCAGCCTAAAGTGACAAAAAGCACTTCCAGAAGAGTTGAAACAAATGGACCACCCAAGGCAAAGCAACAGCTGCTGCTTTATGTATAGTAGTGCCACAGCAGCAGTAAATAAGATCTCTATGAGTGGGTTGGTGTGACTCAGGCACACGTGTATGATTCATTCGCCAAGCTGCTAACACCAGGAACAAGCAGAGCCATGATGCAAAGGGTTGATGACACAGAGACAGGTGTTGAAGGGAGCAGAGAGAACCACAAATCATCACTAGAAAATTAACTCTGGTGCTTTTAGCATTGAAACCTTTGCTGATGCAGAAAGGCTACATTACTTCTTCAGAATGAAAGATGCAAAGGCTGCGTTTTACCTTGCAGATACATTTCTTCTCCCTCTGCAAACATCTGCTCACAGCGGGCACAGCGGGCACATGTGGGGTGGTAATGCTTCTCTCCAGCCTGTTGACCAAGAAGTAAGACAAAGGTTAGACCAATGCAGCAGGTATTATTTACTAAGTCTCTTGAGGGAAGTTGTTAACTCGGTACAGCGGTTCCATGAAGTTGGAAGGCTGACAAAAGACACAATCGAATCAAAACAGCAGAGATATGCAAGCTCCAAAAACACTGCATTTACTGTAATTCAATAGCATCTTATTACAAGAACAGTGAACACCTTAACTGTCCAAATTCTAACACATGTATGTTAAAATCTCTCCAGATGTGGTGTTTCATCACTCAAGCTGCATGATGGAAATGTGGCACATTTAGCCATTACACAACCACAAAACAATCCATAGACATTAGTGTTTGTGCCTCTGTGAATACACAAAGTTGGTCTCCACTTGTTTGAAAGCCCACTATTCAGAGATTCATAATTAGCTTATTAAAAAACAAAAAACAAAAACATGAATTATGAGTCTCTGGAGTGCTGCTGAGTTAACTGTAGTTCAGTCCAATGACAACTTTTTTTCACTGAAGTGCCACAATCTGCACACAACAACAAAGACAATGCTGTGTTTTATGATTTAAACACAAGATGGAGCCATTGTGTTGTAGAAGGAGTACTGCAATTTTGTTCGGTTCACAGAAGGGTGCAAGAGTAACACGAGTACGAAAGTACAAACTTGACTTTTTGAAAAGCCTTGCATGTTCGTGACAGATCAGTATTCTTCAATAAAAAGTCAGTAAATCTTTGTTTTAAATGGCACTTTCGAACACCAAGGTTACAAAGTGCTTTAAGGGTCCTTTAACACTCAACTCAGAATGTGTAAAGCTTCCTTCAAATTCCCAATAAATCTTCAAAGTGAGTCTGCAGTTGTCGACCATTCATCATGGAATGTGTATTTAACATGCAGTTGCTATTAGGTGGCTTGACATTTTGAACCTTATGAAGGCGATATGTTATCTGCAGGGTTTGAAGAGGAATCTGCAAGGCAGTGTGATGGGAGGAGGTTGTCACAGTGAGGATGGATGTGTTTGTGAAATTGAGTTTGAGCTGCGGTGTAGATTATTACTGGGCTTGGGAAACTCCCGGGAAACTGGGATATAGATTTCTTCAGGGGTCCACTTGGCCCCTTGCATCCAAGACCTGTCAAACGTAGTTGGTGCTGTCTTTCTTCTAAGCGTCTAGGTCGATCTATAGGGCTTGAGTCTCTTTGGATTCTGTAATTCTGCTCTTGTTTCCTGCATTTATGTTCAGTTTGGGTAGATTTTGCAGAAGCCCATTTTTAGATCAGGTCCAAAATGCTGGATCCAAAACAACACCTTGAAACGCTACTATTGGAAGCCTCTTTCAAATCATGTAGGTGGGAACCTGGGATATAGAGGTCTTTAGGGGTTCACTTGGTTCCTCTAAGTCAAGACCTGGCTGGTTAAAAATGTTGCTGACAGTGTTGGTGCTCTCTTTCTTCCAAGGGGAACTGTCTGGGTTGATCTTTAGGTCATGAGTACCTCTTGATTTCGCATTTTTGCTCCTGTTTCCTGCATGCATCTTCAGTTTGGAAGGTCCAAATTTCTAGACCCAAAACAACACTTTAAAAGTCTACTACTGGGAGGAACCTTTAAAGCATTTAGGGGGGTCAGTGCCTTGCTCAAGTGTAACTCACAGAGAGTTGTTGCTCAGCCATTCCTGTTCTTCACTAGATTTCTGAAGTGTGTTCGGGGATCGAAACTATTAAAATCTTCTGTCTTTTCTCGCCAAAACCCATTTTATTTTATTAAGTCTTCCAGTCTGTTATGTAATCAGCAACTTGCTCAGTTATGATTTTTCTCAATCCCATTTCCTCATTCTGTCTTGTTATGTGTTGTGACAACAGAAAGAACACAAATTATCACTGGAATCATGTAGAATTATCTCATACTTGGCAGTTTTTCTTGTTTTAAAACACATGTGATTTATGAACTTAATAATAAACTAAACAACTCAAGATGGACGGTTATTGCAGTGAACTCATTCTTCTTCCCATCTCACAGAGCAGTCTGCTGATCCACACCTCCCGAAGGCATCCCATCTTGCTTCAACAGGCGGCCTGATTACGCACAATCCCTCTGAGGTCCTTCCACTTTGCTGCGTCATCCCAATAGGCAATGATACCAGAAAACTGGACGGCAACACCCTGTTTCTTGGATAACACCTTGCATAATGCTTGTCTGGACCAAATGGACAGCAGATGCAGAGAGGAGCCAACCTGGGGCAGACCGAAAATACACAAGGAGACTCCAGGTACAGGTATTACTGAGAGAAAATGAAAAGGTCAGGTGCTTGAAAATTGGCAGAAGGTTGTGTGCGCCTTGCCAAAAACTCATATTTGAACTAAATTGAGACAGATAAATAGACAGAGAGGGATAGAAAAGAGGAAGTTGACTTAGGAACATTGAGGCCCGGAGATAAAAGGCCGGAACTGGATTGAAATTCAAACATGGAAAGTATGAGAGGCCCGGAAAAGAGATAGTACTGCAATCAAATCCTTCCTTTGTCAGAATCCGGGGCTGCATGAGGAGAAAATTATCATATTCAATGTCCTGCAGGACTGATATGTCAAGGAAGAGGAGGGGGTGAGTATGGTTTGGAGAGGGGGCTGAACCTGAAAGTTGATGATTTGAGGCTGGAGCTGGTCAGCCAGGGTTCAGGTTTGTGGCTGAGGCTCATGCAGAGTTTGGGGTGAGATAATGGGAGCGTGGTAAAAGGGTCGGTGAGGATACAGAAACAGGATAAAGAGCTGCCGGGTCATACTACCTCTTTATTTACCCAATTACCTACAGGCTGTAAGCTTTCTCAAAATTGTCCTCTCGATAATTCCCTGTCCATCCTCTCATCTCGCAATTGCAGAAACCAGTCAGACGAGGGAAGTGATCCATTTAGAAGATTGGAATAGATTTTGGTGGCACGACTACATCACAAACACACATACACACAAAACATGTGACTCGTTCCATCGTCCAGGTCAGACTTTAATCAAGTCAAGTGTACCTAAAAACTCCCTATTCGAACAGAACACATGTCTAGTTCAAGCTTTTAAATTTCCTGTTATATAACATGCAGACTTGAACAGATAAAAGAACCTGTACATATGTTGTGATATCTGGCTACGTCTAAAAGCTTTATACTTCTGAATGGGGACATTCAAAGGTGGGACAAAATGTGTCTAGCAGCTCACACTTCTTCATGCTGTTACACTCAATTGTACACATGAAAGAACTGACAAAAGAGAGAAGTTCAAACCCCGACTAGCATCACACCTCCACACACCAGTTCAATCACTGAGTAAAGTAGGTCTTATTCTTAGATGTTCTGGTTGGTGAAGTTGGCCTCTTTCTAATTTCACATTTGGAAAGAGGGCAACACGTGATGCTAGATAATCTAACAAGACACTGGATAATCTGACAGTGGAATAGGTTGAATGCTGGTGCCCTCTAATGACAGTGAAGGTGGTGAGTTTCTAGCTTGTGTTGAACAAACAGAAAATTGAACTGGTCAGTTTTCGCTGCGACAGCAATGAGATGGTCGACGAGACAGAGTGAACAGGGCTCTCTATTAGGGCTGTGGGGTCCAGAAACCTGCACTATAAAGAAGGGTTTAAGGTTATCAAGGAAACTTAAGGTTTAACTCTGGGTTTTCTGTA